TTTGGGAATCCACTTGCGCAAGTGTAATAAAATAGATGCTTTTTGTTGATCTTAGTCTCCTTGACCATTTTTGATATGTAGAAAATATATCTGGGATATTTTTCTCACACTGTACTCTCTCTAGCGATAGTCATAATGCCTATACCCTGCCTCTTTTATTCTGGGAGATTTGGCAATACTTGTATGTGGCTCCTTTTTCCAGATTATAAATTGTTCAAAACCCAGATTGTAGCAAAATACTATGCAGCAACTTATAATCATAACTGTAACATATTTTACATCAAATATTACAATTATTTGTATCACTTTTTAAATTGTTTTCGGTTGTACCTTCTAACTCCGGCCTTTGACTGTAATAAATATTCATTCAAAACACTATATTGCACTCCCTTCTTGGGCATAACACATAGCACATAAAAGTTATATATCTAATTTATAGACACCCATCTCATGAGCAAGAAACTCTGGGCAGCAAGCAACAAATTATTTATCAACCACCTGAAACCCTAAAGACTCTAAGCAACTTACAAAACTTAACATTAGACAACTAATAAAGTATTGAAAATGGCAATCTATTTAAGTTTCCATTTACAACAATGCTAAAAGTATTTTTATCTTTACTGAAAGTGATGATGATGCTTATAATTAATCCCCGAAGGAAACTTCTATGTTCACCTGCTTCCAGAAGGCATTGAGGGTAGGAGCTATCCTTGGTTCAAATCACAACATATTTCCAAGGAAGAAAGCTTTTAAAAAGAGCACTCCAGAGGTGGGTTGCTCCCGGTTCAGCCCAGATCAGGAGAACCGGTAGTAGCAGTGGTGGGAGGCTCCGCCCACCTGCCTGGATGTTTCTGCACATGCACAGAAGCGTCGCACACATCCGCCCACACCGGTAATAAAAAAATTGGCAACCCACCACTGGAGCACTTGGTGTTGCCCTCCCTACCCCCAAACTCTCTTGACAAGTGAGGACTCAGAGCAGGGACTCTGTCAGCTTCCTAAGTAGACCAGAAAAAGAAACTCAGGATGAGCTAATTCTACTTTATTACAAAGCTACATTAACAGAATTTTGTAAGTCTGAAAGTACAACTCTATCGCCATCTTTTTTTTACCGGCTGATAACTTAGGGTGGATCCTCTCTAAGTTTCTTTCTCTGCCTTTTACTCAGTGGTGGGCTTCTCCTCCGAGGTGGTGAGGTGAGCCGAGGTGGCGCAGTGGTTAGGGTGCAGTACTGCAGGCCACTTCAGCTGACTGTTATCTGCAGTTCTAATCACACCGGCTCAAGGTTGACTCAGCTTTCCATCCTTCCGAGGTGGGTGAAATGAGGACTCGGATTGTTGGGGGCAATATGCCGACTCTGTAAACCGCTTAGAGAGGGCTGAAAGCCCTATGAAGCAGAATATAAGTCTAACTGCTATTGCTATCTGATTGTTCCCTTGCCACATCACCCCCCTCTTTTCAAGGTCATTCTTCCATTCCATTGCATGCCTCTTGTTCCAACAAGCAGAAAGTATTGGGGAAAGGGAGTCCCTAAGCTAGTCAAAACCTAACTTATATAAGTTCAGTTAAAGCAAGGAGACATTTGTTTGGTAACAGCAATTTAGGATGATGCTAGAGACAGGTGATCACTTTAAAGACATAGCAAAGTCATTGTCTGAAGGACCAGAATAGGGACAGAATATCCTGGGCAAAATAAATAAATAACCCTACATAATTGCTAAGGGTCGACACTCACTTCATGGATAGCCCATAAATAAAAACTGAATGACTAAAATTTGAAGTGAATCTAGAAATCTATTGGTGATCAACATGCATGCCATTATGTCCTGGACTATAGTAATTGAAGTTTCCTGATGGGTCTTCAAGAGCAGACACAAATAGAGATCTAATTTAATTAGTGTGACAACAGACATGAGTGACTGTCAGTTAAGGTTGCCAACTGGTGTACTAAAAGCTATGTATCTCCTAGAGACAGTCTCTACTTATTCTTCAAGCAAGAACTCTGAATCTAGGAGGAATCTCCACATTGTGACCTTGCTCTTTTGGAGGAAGACAGCTCCATCAAGAGTTTAAAACAAAAGTGACCCTGGAGTCAGATGACATCCCAATCTACAGCTACTCCATCTTGTTTGGGTTGAGTTTGAGCCTTGTTTTCCCTATCCAGGCCCTGAAAGCTTCTAGGCATTGTCATGATTTCCACTGTATTGTTCAATGGGCATCCAGGGTAGAAAAAGGCATATCTGGAGATCTTCTGCATATTGATGATAGCTCAGTCTGAATTGATAGATGACTCTCCCAGAAGTTTCATGTTAAAGTTAAATAGGATTGGAAAAGAAGTGAACCCTGAGGCATTCCATATCAAAAGGCCTGTGAATCTGATCCTCTCCCTACAACTAACTGGAACCACCTGGTCAATTAGGAATAAAATGATTCCCAGGTGTGCTCTGGAAGGATTTTGTGATTAGCAGTACTGAAAGGTGCCAAGAGATCTAGGAGGACAAAGATGCCCAACACTGTTTCGTGAGCTTCTACCTCATGAAAAGGAATAGAGCAGTACGGATAGTCCTTGACTTACGACAATTGAGCCCAAAACTTTGGTTGCTAAGTGAAACAGTTGTTAAGTGAATTTTGCCCAACTCTATGACTTTTGCCATAATTATTGAGTGAATCCCTGCAGTTGTTAAGTTGTTAAGTTAGTAACAGGGTTAAGTGAATCTGGTTTCCACATTGAAATTACCTGTCAGGTGGTTTCAAAAATATGATCACAGAACACTGAAATTGTTATAAATATGAGCCAGTTGTCAAGCATCTGAATTTTGATCTGGTACACGTTGGGAATCAGTAAACGGTTGTAAGTGTGAAAAACAGTTTAAGCCATTTTTTTCAATTGCCATTGTAACTTTGAACTTTGTCATTAAATAAATCGAAGACTACCTATAGTGTCAAATTTTATTAGATCTATCCAGCTTCTTGAGGAGTGGGGGAATTGATATCTTTTTAAAGGCCTCTGGCATGTCTCCTTTACTCCAAAGTTGTTGACAACAGCCCTGATTTAATTTCTATTCTCTTCGCTGGCTTGTTTATTAGCCAGGAGAGCTAATGAAATTATTTCCTTACAACCCAACTGGAGGATCAGGACTGAGGTTTGCTACAGCTAATACTATTAATCTGAATGTTGTTATTTGTGAACTATTTCAAGTATTTAATCAGAATAGGCCTGACTACTACTTCATTTTCCTGGATTATTTTAAATTTAAATAATTATAAATGACATATGTTATTGTATCTATAACGTGTTATTATGACCCAGTAGAGAAACAAACTGATTTTATACATATCAATGGGAAAAATATAAACATGTTTTAGCATGGTCCCCACTTTTATGGCTTTCTAGAAATTGGTAATAAGCTGCTTTTTCAGAACATCTCTGTGAATTCGTTGTATAGCTATCCACACCTTAGTAGTCAAACGCTTTGTATTGTTATGGTTATTTTTATATTATATTTTAGTATCCGTTAACACATCTAGGTTCCCATTGGGTTTAGGTGGAAAGAAATCATATAAATAACTGGTAATAAAAGAATTGCCTTTAGAAACAATATAAAGATACCATTAACATTATCCTACTTATTTTGATTAGTTGTAGTTATCCCTAACAGTAATGGTGTCATCTCTCGCTTACAATTTTTTTGCCTTCTTACCTTCCAAAACCTTCCGTTTTGCCTTCCAAAACGGTTGTGTGCTATCATCTTAAATATGCTGCCTTAATTTGGATAATTAAGAAAAACCAAGCATTGCAGAAATCAGAAGTTTATAGGAACATATCCAGCATCCAAGCATACTGATTTTTGTATTCTCCCCTCCCCACTTTGAAAGTTCCTATTTAACATAGTAAGATGATAGTTTCCAGTTTGTATAAAAATGGTATGAAGTATTACTATTTCTGTAAGCATGCAACAGAAACATGATATATGTAAAACACTTCTAAGTTTTTGTTTCAGTTGGATAAGAATGGATAATGAATTTGGATAATATAGTGGCAGATGGATGAGAACAGCAAGTACTTTCTAAATAAGCACCTAATATTATATCATTTAGGATACAGTAGACAGCAATAAAATATTTAATGTTCTAACAGAGACATTACTAAAGAATCATGTAATCTAGAGTTATGCTGCAATACATTGTTTGTATATGGTATGGTATGACTGTTGTGTGTTTTAAATTATGTATTGTTGCGTGTCGTTTTAATTTTTGTTTGTATCCCCCTCCCTTGGTTTGAGTTGTGAGCAGCCCTGAGTCCCCTTCGGGGGGGAAAAGGGCGGCATATAAATAAAATAAACATCAAAAAATAAACATCAAAAATATCTTTCCCCAAAGTCCCTCTAAGTCAGAGAGAAAGTCTAGTTACTTTTGGGAAACCATGACCTGGATGATTGAGAATCTCCAAAGCCTACCCTGACAGATGAACTTGTATGTGTGTAAAAATATACATGACATTGAGTATTATTCACTGGAGTATTAAAAGAATTGCAATTATAATACTAATGTAAAAATCTACTGATCTGTTTTCACATTTCTCCAGGATTTTTGTCACAACCCTCAGTGAGAAATTGATATCAAATAGGAACAGAAATGGAATCACTTAAAAAGGGAAAGTATCAAAATATTTGGGAGGGAAAACTCTGAAAGCATTGTCTGAAACAGTGTAGTATGGANTGGTACCCCTACCCCCCCCCTTCCGGTAAAACTGCCATGTTGCTGGGCAGGCAGAGGGTGTGTGTGTGTGTGACCATCAGAATCCGAATCGTAAGTAGCCCCAAGGAAGAAGGTCCATTGTAACTTCCAACAGTTGCTAAGGGAGCAGTCTTAAGTCAAGAACTGCCTGTAAGGGAAATGCTGTCCTATGAGAAAGGAAAGCGGAGATCGGAGACGGGAGGAGGAGGAGGAGGAGGAGGAGGAAAGCCGGGGGAGGAACCACTCAGACAAACGCAACGCACCCCGAGTCGCAGTTCTGCCACAGGACTTTGGTGATGGCTTTGCACGGGAAAGGACCTAGAAGGGGAGAAGGGAGAGACTGATCGGCATCTGAGCAGAGAGGGAAACTCCCCGCCCCGTGAAAAGACGCTTGTCCTCGTGGCAAGCCCTTATTTCGCTCTTTCTCTCCCAGAAATGGGGAACTGGAAGGGGGGACAAAAGTGACATCCAGTCAGAGAGGGGAAAGGGTGGATTTGAAAGAGTTTGGGGTGAAATCAGTGGGGAGCGGATGAAGTTTCAGAGGATCTGTCTCTACATGGAACAGTAGCAATGCTCAGCCCAGGGTCACCTCGGACAATCGACACAATCTCCAAAAGGGGATAAACCCACTGAGCAGACGAGAAATTAGGAGCTTTGCAGAGCAGTGGAAACCTTTGTCCAGGCTTCCACAACGATTAAATGTTGTCCCTTCCGTTTCTCCAGGCGTGAAACCCTCCCTCCGTAGGATTGGCTAATAATCTTCCGCGCTTTGGGACAGGAGACGGTCTCCGGACTCCAACCCTCGCCCAAAGGGGGCCACACCTCTCCCTGAGCTGCTCCTCCCCGATTAGCCTCACCATAAGGGACGGTGGAAGTGGTGGGTTGCAGAGTCTTGGCCGAACCGTTTGCCATCGACCACAAGGCGTAGCCCCCGTCGCTGTGAGAACTGACCAGCGTCCGGCCGCTCCGCTCCCAGCTGACGCTTTCCAGTTGCTGCAAAAAAGCCGCAGACCCAAGCTAAGCCACCAAGCCTTGGGCACAGAGGAGAGAAAGAGGCTGATAGGAGGACGGCCGGTCACTGTCACATGGCTACAGGGCATTTTGAGAGGGCCCTACTGGCTCCCTCCAGCCACCGCAGACTTTTAATCCTGGTTACCCGAAGGGATCAGCTTTTAATCCTGGGTAATGAGGGCGGGTAATCTGTGAAGTCCTTCCACGGTCCCTTTAACTGCCCGCTTATCTCCCCTAATGGCCACTTTCAGCTCCCCAAGGCCTCAGCTGGCAGGAGGTATTCCTTAGCTCCATCCCATCCGACCTTAGAAACTCCCTGCGAAAAGAGAGGCGGATGGGGACACGGCGGGAGGAAGCCAGCCAAGGAACCTACCTGGTTGCCCAAGAAAAGATGATGGACTTCTCTTGAGCTTCTGTCCCACAGGACCATCAGGCCTCTGCTGTATCCAATGAGGATTTTCGATGAGTCTTGAGGATGCTCCTGAAGAGACTCCACCGGCCCCAGGGCCTTCCCGCATCGGTAGTCTTCAGGCACACTAGGAAGGTGGGAGAAAGAGGGACGCTCGGCCTGTGGTCTCCCTTTCCAGGGAATTAAGGTAGTTATGGGACCCCGAGTGTCACAAGGTGTCCTTCTGCGGATGTGACCTCATTGTGTGCATCAGGAGTGAGGACAGAAGAACCTTCTGTGAAATGGACCTCACAACATCAGGACCCCTCATGTGTGTGGTGTCCAAAGCAATGAAGACACCCAGAGGCATGTGTCTTTTTCTACAACTGACACACCATTTCTGAAGGACACCAGTTAGGTGATTTGACCTGACATCAGCAGCAGCCTTCTCCAAGATCTCTGAGCTCTTGTTCCAGCATTTGATGCTTCCCTCAGAAGGCACCTTATGTCTTCGCACATTGATAAGGCTCTTCTTGCTGCCCATGGTATGGTATTTTATTATTTGTATGCCGCCCTTCTCCAGGAGGACTCAGGGCGGCGAACAATTCAAAGGGGGAAAAAAAGGGGAA